TGCATCCCATTTCTATAGGCAGGTATAACACAACAGCCCAGCCAAACGCTTTAGCAAATCCATCCAGGTGCTACCGCTTCAGAGGCCCATCAGGAATCAGCACAGTGTGGCTATGAAGTGGATGCTCCGCTCTCCTAGATCACTGCCTTCAACGCACATGCTCCCAGGGAGCCAGGTAAGTGTTCACGGTTCGACATTGATGTCTCTGCATTTTAGGGCATGTAATTCACAATTTGCCAGAGAGATACTTATGCAATCACAACGTCTCAGTGCTCCTGATATTTGTCAGCACGGGTTGGGCGCTCTCCTCCTTGTGCTGCTTGTCTCATCTGTCTCTGGGCGGTTTATGCACTGTTGAATTGGAGGATTTTTTCACTCGGGTTCAGAATAAAGTCGCTGCTCTCAAGAGCCAGCTACTTACGTGCGTCAGATTTCAACACTACTCAGTGCTTGAGTTTGGACCTTATTCACTTCTGTATCAGTCCAGCTCAGCGCCAGTGTAACTCCGGCAAGAGCTTGAACATAAACCTGACGAAAGCCCATGGTAAATCAGGCCCTGTATTGCTGAAAAAAACCTTTTATCCCAGCATTACAGGGATGAGACTCCTTATTCTCTATTAAAAAGATCTGTAATTGAATTTCCAGAAATGTTTTGCAGATGCAGCTCCCGTACTTTAGGGAGTGCGCAAGCTACCACCACTGAAAATCATGTCTAAGGACCCTGCTGAGCTTTAACCAATTAGTTCAGTCTTATCTGATACGTGATCATTGTCTCCAGAACAGAAGATACTCAAATACTAGAACAATTCATGTGAAAATTAATACAGTGATTTCACATATAAACTGGAAGTAATGAAGTGTGCAAAACCTTTCAGGAATAAAATACTGAAACCGTGATTTCAGGAATGAAAGCTTTGGCTGATTAATTTTCCTTCATCAATAAACTCTTTCTCAGAGCTCAGTGAAATAGATATAAACCACCTGCACTTTTAAAACAACGTGAGGAGAGCAGAGCTTGTTATCGAGGAGAACTGGTTTCCTAAATAATTACTTTCCTGCTTATTGAGGTTTCAAGCCGAGCAAAGGGTCGGTGATGAAGGACTGTGCCGACCTGCGGTAACTAAGGTTAATGTGACTGTATAGCTCTGTTTTGCAGGCCCGGGGCATGAGAACGAACCTAGGAGCAACTTGCAACACTTGTTCAAACAGGGATTGAAATATTACTGCACGAGGGACAGATCCTGTGAGACGGTCCCACCCGACCAATCACTGAGAAATGTGAACACTTCGTCTGTGTCCTTTCGCTTCCAAAAGACCACTTGGATCCTTTCAGTTGGGTATGGTGTTTGAAGTGCTTGGCCTAGAGTTTTCACTTACTTTAGGATGAACCTGATAGACATCAAAATGAAGATGACTCTAAGGCAGTAATTTGTGTCCTTCCTAAGAAATCTCAAAAACAGGGCAGAGCAACCTAAAGTGCATACCTGGGCTTCATATTTTTTAGCAATTATTTCAACAGTTGCTAACAGCAGTACCCTTCACCCAGCACAGCACATCTCAGAGGAGCTGTTAGACAGGCATCTGCACTGGAGATGAAGGGCTAGAAGATAGGAATTTTCAAATGAAGGGAAAAGAAAACCCCTTTCTTATCAGTTCCTGTTTTCCCACTGTAACAATTCTCAAAAATGCTATCACAATTCCTGAAACAGTATTTCCTTAGAAAATTCCATTTTTGTAAGGTAAAATGTTCTCTTATAGAGAAAAATAAAATGACACTCTGACTACATGGTCCAGTTTCATTTTAAAATTCATCCAGTAGGAAAACTCAGAACACGTGCAAAGTTCTCCAAAAAAAGAGCAACTTTCCAAGAAGGCAAGGCTAACGCATCTCCTACTAGTGCTGCTGGGAAGCTCTGGTTTGGGCTGATGGCCAAAAGCGCTGCCTACAGACCAAAAGTGAAGGCAGCCTCTTTGTAGTCACATACAAACTACCTTCGTTTCTCATACACACAATGTTTCACTGGCTTGTCACTCATGCCAGAGTCCATTAGAAAATAAAAGCATAAATGGAGAAGATCCTGCTATCCTGCTAAGGGCCACAATGCGAACTTGATCCACACATTCACAGCTGGAGCACGTGCACATTGTGGTGCAGCTCCGAGATGTGACCCATGCATCCGTAGCTTTGTAGAGCCATCTGTTTTCTTCAGCTTCATTTTGCTATCCCTGTACAAAGCCTCTAGCCTTGCTTCACTTAAATTCCCCCTCAGCAGACAGCTGAGATGGAAACGTTGCTAGCACCAAAATGACAGCACATGGGAGATTTACCTGATGGGAGCTGACTCATCCCCTTTATCGAGCCAGTCCTGCGGTGGGATTATGTACATGCACCAGAGGCCCCAGTTATAGCCATGGGCTGCGTTGGCATATTGCTGCACTTCAAAAGTGTTGTACTTAATATTGTCAATTGCTGGTAAGATGATCCGCTTTCGATCTTCTTTGATCCGGGTAAGTGCAGGTTCCACCCTGAGAACAATAAAAACAGGAAAATGTTTTACAGCCATCCAGTAATCCCAGGTCCTGCTTTGCAGGCTGATAAAACAAAGTTCTCTAATACCGAGAGCAGTAACCCAGCGAGATGGCAGCCCACAACACAGCACAGCGGGATCGAACACAGATCACTGTCCTACCCTGAGGAGGCTGGAGCTTGGAGTGGGATACTTCACGTAGCAACAGCACATGAATTACTACCTTTATGAAGCTGTACCAGAGTTTAACAAAACAAAATTTTACCAGACGCTTATTCTGAGACCTGGAGACTGTCAACTCATTTTGCAGTGGACGAGTGTTGAGAGACACTATCGCCAAGCGTGACTAAATGGTCTCCTAACGGCTACACCACCAGGATGCCTGGTAGCGATTAAATACCTGCGCTTGCTGACGAAGCCTGAAGAACAAAACACACACCAGGGACTGAATGAATCTGAAGGTTACTCAAAGGTTTTAATCTTGTTTCCTAAGGACTGACCCCATCGGATCCAGTTTGAATGACAAGCGTGGCTGCATTATGCCTTCTAAAACCTCTTTGGTGATGAGAAGATTTCAATTGCCAGATGGTGCAAAAGCAGCGAACTGCAGGAAATGTGCCAACATTTCAAAAGGCTTTAAAACATCAATGTGCTTTCAACAGAAGCTACATCCCAAAGTGTTTCAGGGAAGTAAAAAGCTTCAGTGCAAACATTCATTTCTGACCAAGGTAGTCTGAAGTTGCTACGAATTTACAGAGAAACTGATCCAAAGAGGTAGCAGACTTACGTAAGGGTGGAAGGCACTTCTCAAAGCAGCATTAGAAACAGCCACCGGTTCACTCCTTTGTAACTCTGCTTCCCCTTGAAATCAGCTTTGAAGATTTTGCAGAGCTCTCACGTGTATCTTTAAGGGAATGGTGGTTTGCTGCGATTCACAGAGGTAGTAGGATTTGAACACCGATCTTTTCTCATTTTTCTTTTGTTGTGGGCTAAAAGGCAATTGTTCCTTTGTGGTTTCACATTTGTTACCTTGTATTTTGTTTGTTATCTTATATTTAGTTTGTTACCATGTATTTCCTTGTGTAGGCCAACAGAAAGGGACAAGTTAGGAAATGAATTCAGCCTCCCATTTTCAATCTTCACTGCCTCAATCTGAACTACCATAAATTTTCTGATCTCTTCTGTAAGAAGACAGCAATTTCTCTGTACTTGAATACGGCCAAAATATTTGTCTTTTATGTACACAGGCTCCATATTGCTTACGTGAGGTCGTGTACTGCTTGCCTTCTCTTCTTTTTACCCTTCCCACATCAGCAAAAAGACATGTAGATTCAGTGAAACCCTTGAGTACTGATGATGAGCTACTTACTGCAAATAAACCATCACAAAACAATGTAAAATAAGAGCATAACTGACAAAAAGACAAGTTGTCACAGCATTTCATTTGGAGAGAAGTCAAAGAGAGTTAAACTAGTTTTATTCGGATTCCTCTAGAAAAATGACATTTGAATTTATCAGCTGGATGCCAATAACACAGAGCATGGAAGTTTTAATAAAAAGGATGATCACAAGCGTGGTGGGAGGAGAACGATGACATTGCAAGTTGCAGAAATTCCCCCTGGCCAGGAAGGTTATGAAAGAGATGTTCATCTCATATGCAATATGTACTGTTTTGTTACTCGGTTTATTCTGGGAATAAATCGGTGCAGCCCTCGTGACTGCAATGGCCTGAGATCTCTCTTACTACTGCCTGCCACCTGCAATTTTTGGTGCAGCACTGCTGTTGTCAAAGCCCAGTCCTGCAAGGTACCAAAGACCTCCACGGAAGCATGAAGGTGCATCGGCCCAGAGGAGGTACAGTCATTTCAGCTCAGGTCAGTAAGTACCTTTTTGGCTTTAAAATACTTCCTTAGTCAGCAGGATCATACCTTGTTTCTTTTTCCCCTTTTTTTTTGCATGGCATTTAAAGAACTCCACCCCAGACTCAAAGGAGATTTTTTTTTTTTCTGTGGGAGAGGCAAGGAAGAACTGAGAGAGATTCAGGACAGTGCAGTACATGATTCAGAATGCCAATTTGTGTGGTCTTCAGGCCACGCTCATGCACCCACACAGAGAGCCAATGTGACCCACCAAATCAGGATAAACCCCTTCTGTTACTAATACGAGATTATACTTATGAGATGAACTGTTTTAAAAACCGGTGGGTGGATGGCAGAAAAACTCTTGCAACTCCAATGAAGCAGGGAAGAACGAAGAAAAGATGAATCTGCTTTGTTCTGCACCTCCCATCATGAATCAGGTGCCTCCATGCATGGCTGTGGTAACCCCTGTGTACAACATCAACGCTCTCCCACTCCCTTCTGGCCTCTGAAGCAAAGGCTTTCGAAATACCAAACAACAGGTATAGATGTCACTAATGACAGGCCACTAATTGTTTGACTGGAAGAAGAATCCTCCTCTTTGTGGTTGTGGAGGAAAAAAAAATGACCTTGGAGCAGGTCACTGTCCACGCGGAGCACTTGCAGGAGCAGCCTCGTTACAAAACTGACTCCGAGCTCCCTTGCAAACCAACCCCCCCCGCAGGGGTGGCCCACTCCCGCAGCCCTCGGGCATCGCTCCAGCAGATCGGGTGCAGTCGCAGAGCAGAGGATTCCACCCCGCAGCGAGATCTGGTGCACATCGCAGGACACAGCCGCGCCCAGTGACTCCCACAGCACGCACAAATTTGTTACGTTTGGGTCTGATTTCCAGATCTGCCCTGCAAAGCAGGAAAACTGACTGCATGCCTTCTGAAGCAGAAATTTGTATGTGGGTTTCCTTGGTAAGAATTCTGTCATTCTTATTCACTACCATCTGATCCTGGAAAACAGGTCTTTGACAAGCAAGGAAAGACTAGGAGTTTTTAAAACTATTTTTATCTCTCTTTGTTAGAGTTCTTTGGTCACCAAATCCTCAAATCCTCAATTATTGGGATGTTCATGTTCATACAAAGCAAGACCATTTAACCATCATACTTAAAACTATCCTGAAGTTTCCATGTTCCTTCTACAGCTCCTCCTTGCGTGCTCATTTTGCAAGTATTTTACTTTGAAGGGTAGATTGAGATCGTGTAATAAAAAAGCTAAAAGAGATAAGGAATTCTTCTCCCTTAATGTCAGATGTCTGCAATAGACCCCCCACATCCAAGGTAATTGCCTCAAACTTTCATTCTCAGCAGAGAGAGGCAGAGGCTGGCACTTTTATAGTAAGATGCTTCTCATAATAATGTAGACGCTGAGAATAGGTGAGATTAATAATGTTCCAGAGGAGCCTAATTTGAATATAAAGGGAATTTAGCCTGCTACTTTGCAAGACAGCTTAAAATTGGACTGTTGAAGTGTATCCCCAATAATGGTTAGAGAAAGAATGTGAAGAAAATATTTAACAGTCACTCTGATTTTCAGCCCTCAGTCATACTTGTGATTGTGTTCATCTGATCCCTGTGTCTTGGAAATGCTAATCTGGGTCCTCATGTTCTTCATAACAAGAAGAACAGTCCATCCCCAGCTCTGGTGCTGCTGTCATACCAGCCAGCACCAAACTACTCCCGTCACTCTCCAGCTGACCGAATTCCTGGGTTTTTCCAGTTGGATGGTTTACATTTATGACCACCTGACTTGGTGCTTTGCATCTGAAGATGCACAAGGAGGGATCTCTGGAGTGTAATACAACAGTCGGATCAAAATACGTGATGAAATTTCATTAATCTCTATCAACCTATTAATTTCAAATCTCAGATTTTGAACTTTCATGAAATCTGAGGCACCTGAAAGCTGTCCATGTGGTAGAAGTTCTGTTTCAGTCCCCTGCACTCAAGATATGTAAATGTTGAAGATATTACTGCTTCAGCAAGCGTTGATATCTCTACCCTCAGGTTACAGACGGAGTAAAATGCCAAGGTTATGGAGTGAACTGGTATGAAAGCAACTGCTGGAACTTCCTTTTCTCAACCTCCCATCCCCCCCAGTGGAGGTGACTTTCTTCCTCTGTCTGTGTCCACAGGTGTGGAAAGCACATCCCCACAGGTATTAGGAAGAGGAACGGTTCAGTATCTGGACAGACTGCACATTTATCTAACTTCCAAAATATGTTCACACCCACAAGTAAGAGAGCAGGCTCTGAGTCACAGATGGAAAGAGAAAACCCAGTGCAGAGTTGTTCTCTGTTACTCAGCAGAACCCAGAATAGAGAGCCTTTTCATTAAACATTGTACACCTGTGAGATTTCACAGCCTGTCGTGCCCCATCAGGGACAGCAGAAATAGCAATGGGGAGTTCAGACGCCAAGTCCTAGCTCATCTCAGCGAGACCCACAGGAACGTTCAAATCCCAGATTCTGCCAGCGCCCTCCGCACCACCGAGACTGCTGGTGCTCTGTTTTTCTGCCTGCCAAGATCCCTAGGTAATGGCCAGTGAAGAAGGACTATTGGCTTGGACAGGACTGGGTAATGGCCTGTGTTCACATTGCTTATTTTCGGTAATCCATGAAATATGAGGGTTTTTTTACTGCTGGAAAGTCCAGCCTTGGAGTAGCTCCATTAGGCTCAATGGACTTACCCAGTGGCTTTGTCTCTGTAAGCTGAGCTGCACATTCATCAAATCCTTTGTCAACTTTGCTGGTAATTCTGCCTTTCTCTAATTGCTTCAGGTTTTTGAAAGGATTATGATTAAACCTTTCCTAGTAATTCCTAATTTTTTTCCTAATTTTAAGCTGCTACATTATTATGTAGATTTACTCGTCCTCTTTACAGACACCAGTGTTCTTTCCCAGGTTTTTCCCCCTCTTGTCTTGTTTTTTCTACTGTGCTTCTGCAGAAGTCAGGTGCTCCTGGCACCTCCCAGGACTAAAAGGACAGAGTGGAAGAGGTTGCTGAAGTCCAAGTACGTTCAACACGCTATGCTGATGAGCTGCAATATGTTGGTTGAGTATTTGCTTTCCACTTGGCCAGCGCTGGCAGTG